TCCTAGTAGTAAGGCCAGGAGCCCCTAGTAGCGTCCTTGCTCCTAGTCGCGATGCCCTTTGCTCCTAGTAGCTTGTTGCTCCTAGTAAGGCCAGGAGCCCCTAGTAGCGTCCTTGTTCCTAGTAGCCCCTAAGACGTAAGAGAACCAATCCTATCACGACCGTCGCATACGTGTCACTGGTCCAGGGCAAACGATCGAAACGCCGGCCCTTTCGAAAGCCATGCTTCTAGACCACAAAAGTGAATGGCGAAGGACGTGAAAGGCGCAGGTCTGTCTTTCTGATTGGACTGTGCAAAGTCCTGATTAATCGAATTTCATCTGCTAGCACACCTAGAGACTCCCACTGTGATGCATTCAAGTCACTTCGGTAGCCTCAACCGGTTCGCCTGAAGCAAGGCATATGACATACATGCAGACTTGTGCCCGGGCCCCATGGATGAAAAGCAGGGCCTTTAGTGCCTCGTGTGCCGAGTCTTGCGGTCCAACTGGTCCGGCATGGTCCGGCTATAGCTTAGTTTGCGCCTCGAAAGGGCAAAAGGCAGGCTGATGCATGCTGATGCACAAAAAATCAACTAGGTTGCTTGCTCAAAACAAGGGCAAGAAGGGTGACTGTCCAAAAAAGATTGAACACAGAACGCAAGTCCATTCTTGCGTCGATCGATGCAACGAAGCGTGTCAGCACGGTACTCGAGCTGCAGAACGTGCGCAGCTGAATTTTGCGGCAACGTCTGTGTTGTGCCAAGGGCATTGCTACTAGGAGCAAAGGGCATCGCTACTAGTAGCAAGGACGCTACTATTAGTTCCTGGCCGTACTACTAGGAACAAGAAACTACTAGTAGATCCTGGCCTTACTACTAGTAGCAAAAAACCTACTAGGAGCAATCTGTTTCCAAGAAAAGAGAGAAAACATGAATCATTTGCTACACGTGGGATAGTTGAGCAAATCAAAGCGAGGATCGTATTCCGGGATACGGAAAGGGCAAGGCGCCCCCCTTCATCACTGGAATATGCTGGAATCAGCATCCAATCTCCCCACGAAACGGAGATACTCGACTCGATGGTAGTTCAATTTCATGAGCTTTCTCCACTTGACATTTCTATTGGAGGACCTCTGCTCTAACTGCTCACAATGGTTCATGTTCCAGACTCAGCATTTGAAGTTGAAGGTGCCTTTGCTGAGCCTTGGAATACACACCATCCAACTGCTGGATACCCAGTTCCAGTACTGACTCTGGTAACCATTTAAGAGTCAATACCTTTTGTGACCGTACGACACAACCATCTAGGTGGGGACAAGTAGAACATTGTACTGTAGAAAACTCTGGATGGACACCCATGACTGTCTACTCAAGTTCCATGACGACATGTCTATTTCTAATCCCATCTGTTCCAACCGCCACCCAATCCGCCGCACCGGTCTCCGCTCTCCGCACCTGGTCGAGACCTCCGCTCCGAGACCTCCGCCGTGGGGAAGAAGTCCGCCGACCTGCAAACGATCGAACGAGCAACGAACAGTGGGAACCTGTGGCATGAAGAAGACCGATGCTTTGCTTGGAAAACACACATCTAAAAAATCCGGTTCCGGTTCCGGAAGCGGCCTCAGATCGTTTTGGTAGCGGCCTGAAAACTATGACATCTATCAGGCTATCAGCTTCGAGAGCAGGAGATGGATGTGTTTGAAGGCACTCCCTTTTTGTCTCTCCTCCCAGGATGAAACAAATCCCGCAAAACCAGCTGTTTGAGGTGTGGATTGTGGCCGAGACGACGCCGGCTTGAGCTCCCGAGACGAAACAAGGCTCCCGAACAACAAACCTTCGTTGGACCCTCCGAGACGACGAAGGAATCCGCTGGGGCAGGGTGTTTCCGGTCTCTGAAACGCTTGGCTCGAAAAAGAAAATGGATTCTGCCAGACTCGACCCATTCAAAGACCAGAAGAAAGGTCAAACAACAGCTTTAAGGCTTTAGGAGATCATAAGCACCCATTTGTCACACTCCAGATCACTCCAGGCATTTAGTTACATTTAGTTTTTTTGGGTGACCCGCCGCAAGGCAAGATGCCGGTCGCCTGCGACGAGGTGGTCGCCTGTCGTCTGACGAGGTCGGATGAGGTGCAGTGTGGGGCAGTGTGCCCAGGCATCGAAACGTTCTCCACCTCAACTAGTAACAATGTTCGCTACGAACGGGGCTCCTGGCATCGCTACGAACAGAGCTCGGACGCTACGATCGGGGCTCCTGGCCATACGATGAACGGAACATGGACGTTAATCATGAAATACATGGTTTCGTGGTAGAACTGGGTACAACTGGGCTCTCCGGGATTCGAAGGCTGCTCGTTGGAACCAAGGGCCTTTGGTAGCAAGTGACTAATGAGTTCTCCTCTGTCACATGGTCGAGGCAGGTCCCGGTCCAAGCTCTGCTCAAGGTCCTAAGGTTTGGAGGCTGCAGAAGGGTCTCACAACATTTCAATAAAAAGAAAACAACCCCTCTGTTGCTGACTTTTTGTAAGCACAAGATTGTGCCAGAATTCGATTTATGTAATGGATACAGCAACTACCCAGGTATGGCTGAACATTAATGCCCTTCCACAGGGCCTCCTTACCATCATATTAGGTCACTCCACCGATCGCCAGATTAGTCCATTCTTGCGGTCTTTGACATGTCTTTGACATGCTTTTGACCCTTCCACCTAAGTCATGGCAGCTAGGTTGAACCCTCAACAAAATCCCCATTGCACTTTGACATGGCTTCCTCGCGGAAAACTTGTGAGTCGCAGCCACCAGCAAACCTTTATTTGGATGAGTGAGACTTGGGTATCTGGCGTGAAAGTTGACCTACATCACATCTACTTGTAAGCATTTCCAGATGTGTTGCTTTTCTCTCACGTGGCCCCCATCTCGCCTCATCTGTAACATCGTTTGGGCGATCGTTTGGCCGATCTATTGGAGAGACTATGGGCTATATGGCATGCCGGTTCAGATGGCGATGTTGAAACAACTGGCCTACTCCCTCATTGCAGTGGTGGAACAGTGTGAACACTTGAAGCATCTGCCGGATGCACATGTCGGCTCCACGATACCTCCTCACATGGAAGCGTTCGTCATGGTCAAACGTGCTTCCTTCGTAGTCTTCATGACATGCTGAGTGCTTCAGTAAACAAATTATACTTAGCACAAGGCAAAGACTCCCCTCGGATTTGAGCCAACAATGCCCAAACGGAGCTTTTTGCATTGTCTGTGATGAGCAGAATAAATATGGATTTGGTAGAGGTTCTGGATAAATCGTACAACCTGTGCTGCCCAAGACAGTATGTGAAGCTTGGACTATTCACCTCTCAATCTCTTTGGCTGAGCCACTTCATCAGAGGCAGAATGAAGCAGTGATGAGGCGGCTGTCCCAGCAATTCCTACATGTTCAGATCCTACAGTGATTTGCTAGTTGCTCTACATGGTCCACCAAATCAGGCAATCCTACCTATACAGTAAGGAACAAGAGTTTGGAGATGGTCACACACACACACACAGCGCAAGCAAGACCCCGGAGGGTGCCACCAGCGAATGTGCAAATCTTCCCGGGCCGCCTGCGAGCTGCGACGCGGTACAGTAGTCGGCTCTGCCAAGAGCACAATCCCATCTGTGCAAGACATCTTGGGGTGCCAGTGCAATCGAACAGTAAATCACTGTAAGAATCAAATATCTGTGCAACCACATCTCCGAGCCGAGAAGAGCCATGGTGAACAATTGCACTTTTTCTCCCCAAATGGCTGGGCTGGACCCGGGTAAGGTGGAAGAGCCATAAGAAGCCTTTCTTCGTACGTCGTAGATCTACTTCCAAGGAACTCTACGCTATATATTTTACAATATAAACAATATATACAATATAAATACCACAAACTGCCCAGCCTTCAACTTATACTGTAACCCCTGTTTCCCAAAATCAGTCAAGTCTTCTCTCCCTTCGGAGATGCTAAAAGGTGCGTCTAGTGACAATGGGTTGGATATTCTGGGGTGCCTCTCAAGCACCACCCCGTTGCCAACCCTGTGGCTTCTGTGGACTTTTGATCAACTCCCATCCAATATCCACCATCCTCCATGGCATTCCATGGCCCAAAGAGGAGTGGAAAACCACCATGGTTGCAGAGGAAAATAGTCGTCCAACGGGCCATGCCATCCACTTCCGAACGTGAGTCGTTTCGTACATCGGTTTCGTCGCTTCCACCTGGGCCGCGCGGTTCCATGCGCTGCGGCCAAGAGCGTGAAGGCGCTGGCCTGACGTGACGTCTGCCGAGCCAATGCGCACGGGTCGACCGCTAGGTGAGCGGTCGAGCCAATGCGTGTCGAGCGCAATCGAGCGGGGTCGACCGGGTAGGATTCGGGGAGAAATCGCTTCATCCGCTCCCAGCAACCTCCACAATGTCTGCTCATTGGCTCGGCAGGACTCTGCCAGGCTCCACCAGCTTTTGGAATATGTCCCGGCTTCTAATTAAGGTGTTTCCATGTTTGATTGCGTCTAAGCTCACTTCAATATTATCCATTGGAACGCAATGGACGACTCTGTTAGTAATTACTGTAGATTGGTCTTCCAAGGGCCCATTGCATGTCTGCATGCTAGATACTTTTGGGACAGCCGCCTGCTCAGCTGACCATCACAAACGGAAGGATCAAGTGGATATATATATATATACATATATTTATAACCCACATCACCAGAATCACTCACTGCCCATGCAAGGTAACAAAACAAATAAGTCCCAACGTCCAAGTGGGAGGGACATGAACACATGAAGACTCTTCCAGTCGGAGGGTCAAACGTCCATCCAACATCGCTGTTTTCAGCGGTTCAAGGCCCAGCGGCGGCTGAGAAGTTGGCCCAGCGGCGGCGGCCGGAAAAGCGAGACCTGACGAGGGGATAGTCTGGCATGGAGAGCTAGAGCGAGACCCTGAGACGAGACGTTTCCATAGAGTTCGCGTCGCAGAAGGGGACCTCACAAAACATGTCAAGAGATGGCTCAGCCATTCATCACTTCGAGCGAGGCATTCATCGACTTCAACCTTCTCTCCATGTGTCCAAGGGACTGTCCAGGTCCTAGGTGACAGGATGTAATATCAACGTTTGGTGTTCAGATGTTACCCTTACAGTGTAGAAAAAACACCCAAATGTACAAATTACCGTTCATAGTACTTCATAGTTCTTTATTCACGGTTGGAATCTGGTTGTGATTGTTGCGGACTTCTATGTAAAATTGTAAAACAAACAGCAGGACTTCTACAATGTCTGAAGCCGGATTCGCCAAAGCGTCTTGGAGCCCTGGTGGACCTTTGGGGTGACTTCGGTCGTCGGTTCCTGAAGGTTTTGGCTGCTCGCAAAAAGACCGCCGAACGAACACCCGTGCCACTTTGCCAGTGTGAAACCCGAGAAGCATGATCACAAAAACAATCAAAACACAACGTAACCGTAACATACCGTAACCACTCTTCGTAAATTAAATGAATTACATGGAAGTACTGTACTATCTGGCACAAAACATCACAAAACCACCGTGCCATGTCTCCCGTCTTCCCGTCTTCTCCCACCTTCCAGTGGTAGGCATGCCCGACATGGGACGCCTATGGAGTCAGATGGCGAACATGGTCGAGAACATCAAACAAAGCACGCGACCCTTCTTTGGTCAACAACATGTTGATGTTCGCCAACGATACGCGACCCTTCGGGACCCTTCAGTGTGTTGGGGAGTATCGGTCAGCCTGCCTCTACACAAACCTAAACAAAGGAAGCAGCAAATAAGAGCACTGTGCACGACTGTGCCGAACGAACTGCATGGCAAAGGAACAGAACCCAAGTTTGGGAGGTCTAAAGACGATGGGAACTCAGACCTTTTGAGTCCTTTTCTCGCAGAAAATGCGTTGTGGTTTTCTCGAAGCTTCAGCCGATGCGATTGGCGCATTCGATTTCGTGGGCCGATGTTGTGGGGCAAAGCGCCCAAAGCCAGGAGCCCCTAGTAGCGTCCCAAGTATCTCGCATATGACCTCACACACCCCCAGTCGCGGGGCCTTGCAAAACCCCAGTGCACTTGAACATTGGTAGGGTTTCTTCTGCGGGAGTCAAAGCCCAAAATGGATCAGCTCTGGGGATTGGGTGGCCAAATTTCCACTGACAACAGAAGAAAAAGGATATAGTACTTGGCATTTAGGAGCGGGTTCATAGGCATTGCAGCGGGTTTCTTTCATGTGAAGCCACGTGCAAACAAACCATCCCATCAAAGTGGGGGTCCAAACTCCAGACCTCATCATTCAGGGTTTCGGGGTCATTGGCCGCCATCCCTTGGACCAAAGAAAAAGGAACACCATGCTAGGAAAGGCCTGAGACCAGCATTTCATCACACCCACAAAAGAGACAGTTCTTCAAACAGCCGCTAGGACTTCATCACTCCATCAAAAATGGCCCCTCTCCCGCATGTGTTGCTTTGTGTCCTGGATCGACTGCTCCGGAAGCTCCGTCGACTATTGATTAATATAACCAACCATCCATTTCCAAATCAAATGGGGGGTTAACCAATCAAGAGAGTATACATTAGCAGGCCACACCTTTTTGACCTACCCTCCAGGCGATGGAAGTCCTGGAGCAGCCGATCCGAGTGGCTCCTGTGGGAGGGAGCCTGCTTCACGTAAATAGGTGTAGAAGGAGAAGGAGAAGGCGCCGCTGCTCTAGACGCCATAAAGGATGTACAGGAACAGTGTTGCACATATTTCATAATATAATACATATATAAGATTATATAACATTATTATATATGTTTAACTACTCTTTATATGGGCACACTAAATACCTAGCTCAATGTATAGTACCCGCTCCCAAGCTCTTCGTCGCCCTCTCCACCGATGTCCCTTCGCTCCGCACCTTGGCGCGGAATCGGTCGTCGACCTCACGCCTGGAAGTCGCATGGGGTCGACGGACGAACGGCGAAGCCCACAGGTGACCCTGGTGACAGTCATCAAGTTGTTAGGCCCATGCTCTGGCCCACCATGGCCCACCCTCACCAGTATGTGCTACCCAGCGTAGTCAAGAAACCACCCTCACAATATAGTGAGCATCAAGCCGGCATCTTTTACTCCTTCCGTCCGTACCTGCGTAGCTGAAGGTCAGCATTCTGTGCACCTGGGCGTGCCAAGAAACGCATCGAGAATTGAGTTGGCACACACCCTTGGCGAAAAAGGAATGGCCGGCAATCAAACGATCAAAAGGCAAGGGAAAGGCGCCGCCATGTCAAACACAGCTGTAGCAATTCTGGGATGCCCAGCAAAAAAAACTGAGGCCCGGCTGTATACGCAGGCGCAAAACCTGTGAATTCACCAAAGCGAGTGGACTAAAATCTGAGAGATGAATTGTTTGTTTTCGCTTTCACCAGTTGCAACTGTATCTTCGAGTTTCTTGAGTTTGGTCACAATTGTCTGAAGTCAGCATCCTTCTTGAACTGGTGAACTCTGAACTGGAGCCGGAGACAAAAGGCGAGGCCTTTAAGCATGCTGATACCCGGCCGAGCAGTAAATCCATGCGCTGGTCACGGTCACCAGGCCGTTCATGGCCGTCCCGCAGCGTTTTTGATCCACTTGTGGTTCACCGTCCCGGTGGGTTCCCCATCCATGCGCCATAGTATCTGATTTCAGCCAAAGAGAACATCCATCACATCGCATTCTAAGGATTGAAATCACATAATTACGTGACCATCACTTCCCGACGTTGGAAAACATGATGCGGAACAAATCTTGGGTGTCCGCCAAGAGTCTGTGACAAACCGGATCGGTCTTTGGTGTCTCTTTTTTTGCAGATCCGTCGGCTTTTCTCTGATGAAACGGCCGCGTTACTGACTATAGATTGATCTTTCCGGTGCTCAGTCACTGTCAATCTCAATGGTACCTGTTTGTGGCGGCGCTGCAAGGACCAGTGAGCGGCAAGGACGAGTGAGGACAGCTAGTTAGAGCATAGATTTGAAACCGATTTCTAAAAAGAGTCCCACCTTCCTAACTATAGCATGTTCACTTCAGCTTTGAGGTTGCAGACTCCTTTTGAGCATGAACTGCACACACAAATGGTTGGACCGGGGTGCGGCCATGCATGGTCCTATGAATATGTAATTATATATTATATATATATGCACATACATTGGGCTGGTACAGTGGGGCTCAATGTGGTCATATCTTCCAGTTGCATGTTTGGGTGTGTGTGGTGTGTCAAAAAACACAAAGAAAACATCACACATACAGGTTTTCCCGAACCTAATCCCTGGAGTGTTTTTGCTCCAGTCCGGAGTGTTGGGCTGTTTCTGAAAGCCACGCCCACCCGCTGTGCTGAGCGAGTTTCGCCGCCGATCCGCGCCGCCGATCCGGTCCCTCTGGGAGGCCCGAGCCGTCACCCTTCTTGGACGGCAAGCGCACGATCTTTACTGAGGGGGTCGAGAGCGTTTGGGCGCTCTCGACACACCGCGGGTGTTAGCACTCATGTTGATCTTGTGTTCTCATTGACGAGTTGACCAACCAGGTTCCCCGAATCCAAGTGTGAGGGGAGAATTGAACAACCTGAACGGATGGTTTTGAAAAGAATCACGAAGCAAATTCAAACCACTATAAATTGACCCAAGCAGCCTGGCTTCTTGGACTCAAACTCAGGGTTCTTTGATCCAATGGTGCCCAAACTGGTACCCCTACAACAATGCTCTGACTCTCGACAGGCTTTGAACCGGAGTTCTCGGTCCTGCCTCAGGGGGCTGAGTCGTGTGTGACTCGTCGTGAGACACTCATCACTTCTTAGGCTTGGGAGGTGATCAACGGGTAGATAGATAGCAAATTCCCTTCCATGAATATATTGGACATGTTTCCAATAAGTGAAATGCTTCTATATTTATTTGCGTTTATTTGTATCCTTCGTTTTTTATCTATATGTTTATCTATTATATAGCGAAATATAGCGAACATTAGGGAACCATTCCAAGTCAATGATTGATGCAAGTTAGTGCAGGGTTTGCACTGAGTGCAGGCAATTGTGCTTCCTTCCACCGTGACCAGTGGTAGATGCTGTGGCCCTGCTGGGTTCATTCAGGCCCAGCCTCCTTTTTCCTTCTTCTTTTTGCTCTTGCTACCTGGATCCAACTGCCAAATCTCGTGTAAAGTATGGAGACATCAGGAACTGAACATGGAAGATGCGGGTGAAGGCTTATTGAAAAAACCTTGGGGGGCTACAATGGAACTACAAATCCTGCAATTGAAGATGATTCCCACATATACTCCAAACAAGACTTGTTTGTCTTCGTTCAAACAAGTGTACTCGGTCAGTTTATAGCACAATCTTGGTTTTCCAGTTCCGAAGAAGACCTGTGGTGTATACATGGCTCTCATGAAGATTTGGAAATTATGCACCGTCATGGGCCTGGAACAAAGTTCCTGGAGCACCTTGAGTTCCTGGAGCTCCAAAAGCATGGTGATCGTGACCGGGAAAAACCATGTATTTGCATCTGCTTGTGCCTCAATGTGCCACGCGCCCCGCGAAGCATGCTGCGAGCATCCACAGTGGAGAATCCAAATGCCTCTCTAAGGTGCACAAACACGAAGCTATAGGTCTGGTCGGTCTGGCTAGTGGTTTCAACTCACTTCATAGATTTGTCAGTGGGATCAATTGTGCTAAGTAAAGGTTGAACATAAAGAGGTGTAGAGCACCACCACCCACTGGAGTTCTCTTGCAAAAGCATCCTGGGGCTTAAAGTTATACTAAAACGACAGTCCTCTGCCTCTCCCACATGACAGTCACTGTCCACGAAACCGCGCGGAACCGGCTGAGGTCGCCGGGCTGCTACTGCTGCTACTGCTACCTCCAAAGTGGTGAAGAGGTGATTGGGAATCAACAAAATGAACATGTACAAAGGTTTCAAATGGTTTCAGAGTAGATGGCACTGGCACCCCCAAATGTCTTTTTATGCGGGGGTCCACATAAACCTCCCAACTAGGGGGATTGTGCCATCTACTCTCTTTCCAGTGCCCTCCTGAAGTCTACGGGGTCTGGGACCTTTCTAGTTGGACCATGCCATTTGAGCGAGAAATTTCACCTCAAGGTGTCAAGGACCAGCAAATTCACCGACTGAACACCCTGACAGTGTCGACCTCCGAGTGGACCATTTTGGACATGCATGCTTTTTCATTATACTGGGTGTGCCTATTAGCAATTATTAGCATCTCGGTATGACTCAAACACAGGGTACATCCCGAAGGGCAACAGAAACAACAGACCTAAGCCTAGCAGTTGTGGGCCTAACAGTTGAAGCATGACCCATGTAGGGCAAATGGTCAGAAACATTCAGAAACAATGAAAGGACACATATAGTACTTCGAAGCTTCTGCAAGCGCCAATATCTTGATGAGAGGGTAAGGCAGAAACTCCAAATCTACGCTCCCGGTTTCTGCTGTTCAGCTTAGTCTCTCCAACAATCTCCTGTGCAAAAGACAAAGTGGAACACATGATAACAAATGGCCAAGCAGCTGCGGGACTTCCTCTTCTTCTCTTTCTTCTTGTCGTTGCGCCTGTCCTGCAAACAAACACGTTGGCATCGACGCATTAGCATCGACAGTCTGTTTGCCACGCGGTCCACGGCCACACCCAAAGACAGCGAGCAAATAGCGTTCATGAACCATATTCAGTACATGCCAGTACTAAACCACCCGAAACAAATAGTGGTCCAACGGTCCAACTGTCCTATACGCAGTAGAACTATGTTCTGCGGTTTGTCAATGGCTCTTGTCATGTCGAGCATTCAATGCACCCAACTCACCTTTCGCCCCGACGGAGGCCCACGTGTCACTCGTCGTCGGGTGAGTAAACGTGGGATCGTTTGACCTGCGGAATCAGCGGAGACTCCATCTCTATCAAACGAGGCTCCAGCGACGCATAAGCCGGTGGTTGAAGACCCGACGCTTTTAAGCACCGAACGCCTGGAAAGCTGTGTCACAGATGTGTCGACCCTGCAAATTTGGCACCGAAAAAGCGACATCTCTCTGTTCGAACCAATAAAGAACCGAAGAGAGATGAACAAATCTTTTTAATTGAAAATGATCTCCCTGCAAAGAAGATGATCTCTGTGTGTGCTACGCTCTGTTATGATCCCAACACCCAAAAAGCGAAACTGTATATGTTTCCGATGCTTTTGGAAGGAAAGCACGGCAGCATCTTTTCTTTATCTGACAATGCAAACGACAAGCCATCGGACTCAGGACTCAGGACCTTGATGATTCATTCGTTGACGTCCAAAATCCTCCCAAAAGCACATGACTCGTCTCTCGCTGTATCTCGTTGTCAATTCAAGGCAGGCAAAGTACTCAGAATCCACCCAAAGAACCAGGAGTTGTATGCCATGGTCATTCACAGTGACTGTGCTTGCTCTTGGAAGCCAGTCATGGCTGTCGACATCTCCCACCCACCTCGGCCCTATCTCAGCACCACAATCGGTCCCGATCGCGACTTCGGCTGCGGTCCCGCCGCCGCCGGTCATCGCGGCCTGCGCGTGGCGGTGCAGGTGCAGGTGCTTTTCCAAGCACAGAGACATGGGATGATTGCGTGAAGAAACCATGGGAATCTGGAACTTCCAGGCGAAGAATGTAGGAAAACCAACGATTTAATGCTCCAAGGAGGCTCCGTAGCTGGTCCTTTTGCCTGAAGAACCTCTCATTGGCCTGTTTGGAACTCTGGAGAGGTCTCAAGCAGGTCCCCGCCGCCAAACCGTGCAGGAGTGGAAATTACTGTATCAGGGCCCAACCCAACAACAGCCTCTACTCAGTCTGCTGCTGTCTTTGGAATGATTTCAGCGATTTGTGACTACCTCTACTGAAATGTACCCCTCAAAATGTTCCGCAACTTGGCTATACCCTGGAGTTGTCTCCAGCGCTAACCCCCAAATGCAAAGAACCTCCGCACCACCGCACCACGCCGCACCGCCGGGTCCCAGCCGCGCGGAAATCGAAAGAACCGCCTCCATGCCGGGTGGACCGGCCCTCGTCACGCTGCTCTTTCCGCACCCGGCCCATCCTGGTGAGTGCGGTGGGAAAGAGCAGAACACTCCCTGCTAGTCGGTACCCCTTCAAGCTGAGTCATGGGAACGGAGTCCTTAAAAGAATTTCTCTTGAAACACATCTTGGGGGCTCTGCTCGAGTTTCAGTCTGTTTGAAGCACTCTCAGTACCGACCGATGTCACACGACCGATGTACCTCGCTTCCGCACGCCCGCCCAGTGGGATGTCTCAGATGTCCATCCTTACCGATCCAGTGGTGGTTCCTTGCGCTCTGCCAGCCATCTCTTTCGCAAAGGTTAACCCCCAGCAAACGCATCTATTTCACAGTCAAAAAACAGCTCCTAGAGGCTCGCAAAGTCTGTCTATGGTTTCATCTTCTGGCTTTTCATCCCTGTAACAGGCTGCCCAATCCATCCAGCCCTCTCTTTCGCAGAGGCACATCAAGTCTCGAGAGGAGAACAAGTTGCTGCCCTTGGCGTCAAAGTCTCGGCTGTCCTGGACAACGGACGACGGCCCGAAGGGCCGAAGGGCCTTGAGCTTCCGCCACGTTCTTCAAAGGGCACAGAAGTCAGGCAGCAGATTCATTACCTCCAGGTTTGTTTCATCTTGCTGTTCTTTCATCTTGCTACTTGGTACCATATCAGTACCCCTGCGCAAAACATATCATCTCGTTAGCAGCTGATCTCTGACTACAAGATTGCCACATTACAATATTGCCAATGGTGTTGGGATCTCCATCTCGACTGACGCAAGAGAAACAAACGCTTTGATAGCAGGTCATCCGGCTCTCAATCTGCAGTTTACATGATCATGAACAGCCATGAATAGCCGATGCAAGCCATGCCAAATGCCCAGCCCGTCCGTGATCCGTCCGTGCCTGTGTCTTGGCCGGCGCCGATCTCCATTCAGCCTCCACCTCGGGCGCGGTTCGACCGATGACCGCGCAGATGGCCGGCGCCGGATCGGTTCATCGATGTGTTCAGAGATTCACCTTCCTTCGGGCCTTCGGGTGTCGAGAACCGAGTTTGGTGCTTGCTTTTCTCGGTAAGTCCATGACACCGGGCATCTGTGTGCTGAGTATCTGTCCCAAATCTGGTGCGGGAAGTGAATCACTGGTCAATCTGACTGACTGGTGCCGGGCCGGGATTTCTTGATTGACTCATTGACAGTGCGTGTTTTTTCTGCTTGGAATATCGCACCCCCCAAAAATGCGGCTTTATTCAGTCCATCCAGGGTGACACAGAATATATGACTATTAAAATATCTTGATTAGACTCAATTTTAAACCCGACCTATTCTCTTTCCATGTCTGGTGGCCTGCCATGTTGGCATGCATATATGTGCTTTCCTTGGTATGTTCCCAATTCCGGAACACCTTGACCTGGAAACTCATACTTTCAATTGATCAGCCAGCCACAACAGTTTTTGGAAGTCTCGTGACCAGCCACTCGTGGCCGGTCGGGTCTGGGTGAGTCGCAGTGCGTCATCCGCTTCGACCTGTTCGTGACCTTTTAGGGGGTCCCCGTTTGTGACCTTTTCCAGGCCTGGACTGGTGACCGAACCAACCAGGTGTTCTTTCGCACCAACCGGTCACAACGTTGAAGACTTGGAAGAATCGCACCTTGCAACTGACGTTGCCGTTCAGGTCGCACCTGGTCTCACCGCCACAGCCGTTCCGGTCGCACCTCACCTTCACACCGTCCAGGTAGATCTGCCCGGCACTCACCGCATTCAACGCTGCCTTCCCGGACGAACGGTGTGAGACGACTCAACGGTTCCATGTAAAGGAAGACTCGACTCACCGAAATCAGAAATCAGAAGACTCGACTCACAGAAATGGCAAAAAAAAGGATGATCAGGTGGACTCTACCAGGTGAAGCTTTCCCTTTCCAAAGGTCCAGGACCGGGATAGTTGCAAGCATCATCCATTCCACAGGGTGGTACCGGTGGCACCCAAGAGATCAAACAAAGATGAACGAAAGTGCAGAAACCACAACACCCAAACCCTGCAGTTCTCCCTGAGGCCAAATTTCCGGAAGACGCAAGTGGCCAAATCTCAACCCTTCTGTTCGTCTCTGTTCAACTAGTGAGTAACTACTGGAGTGCTGAAACACACCCTGTAGAAATCTGTTGAGCCTTCAATGCTCACCAATGCTTCGGCATTTGATGGTTTCTTTGCTGGTGGCACAGAAAGAAACGTGGCTTTAAGTTGGTTGAAGTTTCAACGTCGTGAGGTGTAGATGCCCAAATCCATTTGTCACAAGTGACAAATGATACAAGTGCAAACACCAAACAGTGCCTTTCAGATAATGCTCTCAAACCACTCTTGGTTCAAATCGCAAGTGGCTAAGAAGGCACCAAACACTAAACCCATCCAAAAAACTCATCAAATTTGCACCTTCGGAGCTAGAGGGAAAGGAGGTCACCCAAACCCCCCTTACTCTGACTGGTGTGGATTGCTGTGGGGCCGACAGGGTGGGTTTTCTGCACAAGTCTTCGTCCGACATCGGATCGCTCCTCGGCTTGGGCGCTGGTGCTAAACCTCGGTCGATCGGTCGAAACAGCGTCGCGACGCACTCGAGGCCGCAGCCGCATCGAAGCGTCGTCGTGGGCTCCAGTGGTTCGAGGTCTTGCACCCGAAGAGGTGCCAATGCCTTGGGGATTGGCCTCCAGTCGTCCAGTGGTGCATTAGAGACCACCAGTTCAGTTTCTTTTATAAGGGGTCCATCTAAAACCACCGACCTTGGGGCCTTGGGGATTGTGCCGGGCCTTCTCTGAATCGTTTGGCCATCCAGGACCATCCTGGACCGTCCAATGGACAACCCAACACTACTTAGGGATCTCCATTGGACACGCAAACAGGATGGTCCACACATATCATGGGTGTGTATTAAAATAGGGAGACCTCCCAGATCGACCCCTGGAAGAAAGATAGACCTGTCTACCCTATTGGTTGCTTGGGTGTCTCCCTATTTTAATACAGGCCCATATTTATCGTATTTATGATATACTGCTTGGTTTGGCACACTGCCCAACCAGAATTTCACTCCAGTAACTCTCAGTTTGATCCGACAACGGGGTTGGGGCTTCTCCTCGAGGCTTGTCATGGGTCATGTATGGCCGGTGACCTAGATTTATGCTGCCTGTGGGCTATTAGTTGTCAGACTGAACTGGAGAACTACACTCCTGGCAGGTGGGAAAGCATATCATCCACAGCCAGCAGGCAATATCACAAGATTTTTGCTGCAAGCAAGGTCAATGCCACAGCCAGTCCAAATTGTTTGTCACAGAATTTGCCTTGAAGAGAGCACCAGGTGATCTTTGTCTGTGTGTGCGAAGGAAAACACAAAAGACGCGAAACTGCTTCAATCAAGTCCGACATGTACGACCAAGCTGTGTTGGGGTGCGTGTTGTGCGATCTTTTCATTGACCAGGAAGAAACTCGGCAAACAGAGTCATGATACTAGCATGATACAAAGAAAACATTTGCCACCTAACCGGGGTACAAAAATGTAACCAGGTATCAGGGTTTTTGTGCTAGTGTGAGCAACGAAACTGACAACACCTCAGAAAACCTCCCATCCCAAGCTTCACTTCAAAGCAACTCTTTTTTCCTTCTCGCACCATGTCCACAAGTCTGCGCTGTTTCCTACGGAACAACTTCTACATCTTCATCGCCACCCTCTTCCTCTTCTCCTTCAAGCTCATCACCCTCAGTGGCCCCACACTGGTTGTCATTGTCATCATCGGCCTTCTTCTTGGCATTCTTTGCCTTCTCTGCACGGATCAGCTCATCCTCACAGTCGCTATACAAACAATGACATGTCACGAGCAAGTTTGTTATTGTGGCTGTTTGGTTTGCCAACAGATTTGCAACTCCCACCTTCAAAGAGTCAATCATGGCTTTGTCCCCCTTCCTGCCCTCCAGCTCTTTGCGAAGAATCTCCTTAGATGAAGACGCTTACTTTGTATGGTTCCATAACCCTTCTCCGCTGTTTGGTGCCTGGTGTATACTGCTGGTTTCACCATGGTGTGCTGTGTATGTATGTTTATGTGCTATCCAAACAATTGTCATTGCTTCACGGTGTTCCAACCCCCAGGTCCACATGTTTGATCGCACAACCAATGCAATCACAGTCAAAGGCATGAACACATTTCTACCACAGCAGTTTAACAGCAAGTAGCAGCGATTTCCTCCATGCGCTCTGGTGCAATGTCCGGATCAGGCTTCAACTGCAGGAGGGCGTGATGAACACAATGCATATCAAAGTGACACCAACTGTCTCTTTAAGACAACATATGTTTGTCAAAGCCCGCACCCTGAAGAACTCATTGGTGGCCATGTTGGTCTTGAAGCCCCACACGTGGTTGTCCTTGTACTTGTACTTGTAAACCTTGAACACTTTGGGTGCTGTGGGTTCTCCTGCTGCTGTGGTTGGACGCTTGCCCCTCCCCTTCTTTGGCGACATCATGGACGCTCCCGACGAGGAAGCTGGGCGCTTCATTGTGGTTGCACCTTTTGGTTTCTTGGCTTTGGGTTCATCCTTCTTTTGCTCAGTGCCAGGCTCAGCGTGTGATTCCACCTCAGGCAACACAGCGTCACCCTTTTTGTTCTTTGACTTTGGTGCAGCTTTGGTTTTAGCCTTTGCTTTTCCTTTGGGTGCTCCTTTGGGTGCTCGTTTGGGGGCTCCTTTGGGCGCTCCTTTTGGCTTCGCTTTGGCTTTGGGTTTGCCAGCTGCCGCTGTAGACCCGCCAGCGCCCGCTGTGGCTTCTTCATCAGACAAAGCATCCACCGCAGCCAGCACCATGTCTAAGCACCCCATGCAAACGGCCAGCACCGACTCTGAGGGTTTCAAAACAGCTATCAGACTATCAGGTGGGCACAACACACAAGACCAAAACAAGCAGAAAGAGCAAAACACACCATTGTCATAGACCGATGCAAGTACCGACGCACATAAAGTAAGCAGAGCGACAAGCACTTTGATTTTTGTCAACGGTGCACCGGTACGTTGTAAACATGCGCCCATTTGTCCAGGCATGAACACTCAAAACCAGCACATCACAGCCACCCTTGAACACAGGTATGCAAACAGGTATAATTACTCAAACATACACACCACTGCTAAACAAAGACATGCAACTTTATAAAACCAAGTCTAGGACCAACAAGTCAGTTGCAACAATTGAAGTTGAAGGCCAAGGTCAAGGTGGTCTATGTGAAATGCTGTAACACCAAGTTCTGAACCAGGCTGACATCAAGGCAACTTGTATGCCCGGTTGGGCGCAAATACTGCTGAGCACTTCAATACAAACTTTGGCTTCACTGGCACAATGTTTGCGGGTGAGGAGTTGGCAACGCGCACCTCAGCCAACTCTTAAACCTACTGATTCCTATTGACACAAATGAGGTGACATTGCACTCAGGCCCCAGCATCCCAAACAACGCCGGCTGCAGGGCTATCTGGGAGGGTGTTGAACTCATCAAAGAACACCTGTCCGAGCTGAGTGGCCCTGATGTTGTTGAAGTCAGTGAGTTTCTTTGGCTCGAAGCCATTGACCCGCTGCTTGGGAGACAGCTTGTACCTGAAGTTCCTGACTTCGCCATTGTCCTGTGGTTCAGCCGTGCCACACACATGAACAATCCAAGCACCAAGCAAAGTGCTAAAGGTAAAAAGAGTGAGTCACAGAGGCAAATTGTATCAAGACAACATGGTGTCAATCCTTGACCATTTGCTCCATGTCATGGTCGGTCAACGTCACTTGCATCAAGCCACTGTTGGCTGCTAGACCGCACATGACATCCGCTACAGACTTTAAGGCTTTGCCACTGTCACTGCACACCGTCATCAACATTGTGTCAGACACTGCCAACCAAGGAATGCAGTCTTTGGGATGCGCAGTGGCTACACCTTAGATTTGACTGTTTTGGTTGAAGGTCGGACCCAGCAACATTCAGCAACGCACCATTGACACCTGTGGGGACAAGTGGCCATCATGCAGCCAAGTAGCCTGAGCCAATCTCCTTGAATCCACCAAGCCCGAATCCAAACAACTCCCCAGCACACAGGGTCACAGAATTTTCGCTGCCATTGGAAATCCAAACTTCTGCGCCAACGATGTGGACCGTAAGCGTCGGCTCCCGCAAGCATGGGCATGAGGCCTTGACCCTTGGCTTCAACAAGCATGACATTAAGAAAATAGGCACTACTAACTACATCAACCATGTGTCAGTCAAGGAGCGTTTTGGTGCTTGTGAAATCAGTCAAAGGCATGCCAAACAGATCCACCTCCCGCAGGATGTCCACTGGTCGGTCTGAATCTGTAAAATCAGGTTCACACGATGTGCGATTTGTAACCGGTGCCGGTTTTGTGCTGTGGGTAGTCGAAGCAGGAATAGTCGCAGCTGAATGGCCCTTCAAAGCACGCTTGACTACCGGAGTGTTGGCTTTGCTCACCATGCGAATGAGCTCATCCATTTTGCCCGAACTGGTGGAATCAGTGGAGAACCGAATTTTCAATACGTCTGGAATCCTTTGTGGGGCCAAACTGGGTGTAACAATCTGGGCTGATAGCGTCTAACTTTATTCAATCCAATGAAGATAACTATGACGAAGTGAACCAATCAAGGAGTTTTATCAAGGAGTTTAACATAATGAGTGAACCAAAAGGCAACAAATTCAACTATGAATCTTGAGAGTGCAGTCATCTACAGACAGCGTCACCATGGATGGGACAGGATCCTCAAACCTTGAAGCAGGACGTGTCTTTGGGCCGGCTGCTGCTGAATCATCCCACCACTCCTGCATGACCGAGCATGTTGTGTGTTATGTTTGCCTGCAAGACCACAAGGGCTGGACACATGTTACACCGCCCCAAAGCACCTAAAACACACACACACCAGTCCTCCACTGCCCGACCAGCCATTGCAGAATGAGCCGCATCGCGCTCTCCCTGGTCTGTGAAGTACCCCGTGTAGGTCCACTTCACTTCAGGCACTTGGTCAGAGGGCAGGTTGAGCGCATCAAGTTGCAACTTCCAAACAGCTTTGGACCACTCTCCAAATTGATTAGGGAGCAGGTCAAACAAATGGACAGGAGTACCCTTGGGCAGCTTCAGGCCTTGTATGCATTGCTCCAAAACAGCAACTGTCGCTGGCACACCTCTTTGTTGCACCTCCAACTCAAGCACAACATGTGCTAGGTGAGTGTTAACAAGCAATGTTGACATGTGCACACCAACCTGCAAGACTTGACATGATTCCAAACAACTCCGCCCTGTGGTTGGGAGGAATTGGGGCGTCGGGGTCGTTGTTCACCAACTCAGCCACCCGCGCCCTGGGAACATTGCCAATCTGTCCTCGCAGGATGTTGCTCTTGGACCATTTTGATGCTTGCTGCTGGCTTGAAATGCTCGCTATGCCTCAGCTCCAGCAAGATTACCATAATCACTGCGTGTCACAACAGCATTGTCGCATTTCATTGATTGCCAGGACACACTGCTGGGAAGTCCTCCTCTTATCATTGCCATGTGCAGATTCTT